CGAGATAATCCTGTTCAATACGCAAACTGTGTGCAGTAGCATTGTCATCCTGGAACGCAAACTTATTGCCAAACCTTGCACTAGCATATGACAGAAATATCGTCTCCATATGATGCCACTGACGTTTCCCTGTAGAATATGAAGAGCAGTTTTCCACTATGATGAATAGTTGCCCAAACTGCACCGCCTCCTGTGTGTTGCCCATGGGAAAGACAATCTCTCATCATCTGTTCTCCAGGCAAACAAGGAACACGAATTCTACAATCATCTTTAACAAGTTGGAAACAGGACTAATCTGAAAAGATGACATGTCGCCATTGTCATTACTGTAAATTGGCATGTTGTCTTGCCCAAGTAACACAGTGATGGCAGTGAATTCAGATTAATATCGGTTTGTAGATAGCCCTTCTCGCAAAATAATCTTGTTTGGTCAGTCTTATATTCACTGTTCTTCTGGATACCCTGGGATACATGTGTTTCACGCTATTCGTGTCGTAAGGTGAAGCAAAACTTATTTCGTTCTTCATATGTTAAACTGATCAAAACACGGTCATCTCGGGCATTAATTTTTCGGTATCTACCAATAGAATTTCCTGTAAAACATTCAGCAAAACTGTATGTTTACAAAATACTTCAAACTGTGTGATTAAAAATATTTAGTCATAACCAAACAAAAGAATGGTTACACCATGATTACATTTGACATGACAGCTAAGCTACTGTTTGTGGATGAATTCATTTTCTACACATAATTTTGAGTCGATCCAATCGAAGCACTCATCACTACTGCTATTAAAAACACTAAGCCAAACTTTACTTTTCCTCAAACATAGTGTAAGTCTATTTGGTAATGTTATCTCCTCAACGAAAATCAACTACTACTTGCCGAATATTTCAAAGTCCAAACTGAAAACATTCTCTACCAGCATTAGTAAAGTTATCAGGTGCACTGTATCTTCAAATAATGATTAACAGGTCAGTAATCACAATTTAGTTCATATCACAAAGTCATAACATCCAGATCAAATCCTTATTTTCATACATATATTGCTTGATGGTTGCATTCTTTGTGCAATTAATTTATTTGAGTATGAGTCTGTGTAAATGTCCATAGAAGTGTGCAACACCACACAAGTATGTTTATTCATACATATATATTTTCTTGTATATATATATCTTAACAGTACACGTAACCACATATATTAGGAGTTTTTAACAAACTGCCTTCAGCTTGCATGTTGTATTATGCCAATCAAACACAGGCTTCCTATACTAGCTCCATTGCTGTAACGTGCTGCTATCTTTGAGTCAATAAACTGAATACGTTTTTCGGCATTAAAGCATAAAAATACAGTATTCCACAGTAAAACACATTTACAGTCTTAAACAGCTGCCAACATTAGTAGCCAAACTTGTAAGATATCATATCGCCATTCACAGGCTGATTCATTTACTTTAGTTGAAAAATAGAATACAAGCAAATCCAGTGAAAATGACACTATTCCATTCAGATTCATAACAACCTGATTCACTCTCTGCACTGAGAAGCAACACAACTCTCTCATTGCACATGAATGAGTGGTATATGTACCTACTTTAATACACTGGAGATGTCTAGGAAGTATCTTGTGGTCTCCTCTGCAAACATTACATCATTACGTGACTTGTTAGGATGAGTGATTCTCACAAAATGTCACAATTACATTTCACCTCCGAAAATCGCTTGGAAAGTAAGGGTCAAATAACAGTGGCTTCTCTAGTCTCTGTTAACGAGTCTTGGGTGGTCTTACCTAGTGCTGGGATGAGTTACTTTGGTTGATGAAGGCCTGGAATTCTGTAAAGACTGCCCTATTCAATCTTACACTTGCCGGACCACATACCTCTGCAATAACCCTTAGTCATCCATGCCTTTTTTATACTGAGATCACCCCAGGGGAAGATCTTGATTAATTGTTCTGGTTGTGCCAGATTCTGGCAGTTCTTCTTGTTGTGACTATAAACTCCGGTAGTAATAGACATTTGCAGCATCACCAAAACCCAGATATCCAAGAGATAAATTTTCCGAGACCCGAATACTCTCACAGACAACCATCTTCCCCTTAGTGACTAACTCTTCCTCTTAGCAATAAGTCCTTTGCCTCGTGGAAAATGCCATTTGTTTAAATACGAAGCTTTTTTTTAAACTTAATAACTCAAGTATTAAAAAAAAGCACTCGATAACACACTTGTCACGAGAAAAACAAATCCTGTGTTCACAGCATCAAATTTTTTCCTTTCTGCCTACTCTGTAATATTTTCAGGTACACAGATTTTTTCTAGGAATAATTGTATAGGTTCCACAAAATAAGGGGAGGTTTGACAAAAAACTATTTCATGGAGAAATCCTGAATTTTCTGACTTTGACTGAGCTTGAGGAATAAAAGAGACTGGACACTTTGTGTAACACACTGAAACAGTTTTTATTCAATACACAAAAACAATCAAGTATAAGATAACTGCTTGAGAGAACTTGACTTTACTGGAGATCTAATATAAGCTGTTAAGAACTTTCAGTACTGTCTCTAACTCTGTAGGAACTGTTTGGACTGTTAGCATCTAACAAATGTAACTGAATCTGTTTCAAGCTGAGAAAACAGCATTATATCGACAAAACGACAACGATATTCTTCTTAGAATACATGCATTACACACACGACTGTTGGTCATTTCCATAAAATACTAAGGGAGGTTACATCCTTTGAGCATCAAATAATTTGGCAGTATAAAAGATTACATTGCACTTCTATATAGGAAGTTCAACCTTACAGACATTTCTATTAAGAAATGCACATGTGATATCACAAGTGAATAAACCTGGATAATAGGTAGCTAGGGTGAAAGGAAATTAATGAATTGCATGACTGATATTCTGTGCTGCAACCAAATACACCTGAATATATGAAAATTTAGAAAAATCTTATTTTAAACAAGTGGTAGAAATCACGTAGCATACTATACCATGAAGGTACGAGAGTTATGAGTAATATATAGTTTGTTGCAATTGCTTTAAATAAAAATTAATACGTGGCCAACATTTTGTCCATGAAACTTCCGTCAAAGAAAAATCCTTTGATCAAAATATTTACTGCATATCTCTTTGTTTCCTCTAAGTGATTTTAGAATTTTTAAAAGTTTCAGTTTTCATCATGCTTTAGGTGTATTTTGTTTTAGTATAAATTAAATGTAAACATTTTGTTTTAATGTTAAATATATATATATATATATACAGAAAACATTTCACATGTCATAACTAAGAACAATATAAGGTGTTTCACAACATGGCTGAGTCCGTTTATTATTGCAATTACTATCTTTAACAATTTCTTTTCATACTTAATGCTTAAAATGCTCCTAAGTTTACAAGTTTACTTCACTTAACACTCTAGGCACACTTATAAATAGGCGAAGCATTAGGTGTTTTTTGCTTCTTCAAAACTCTCTAAAGGGAATCCTTTAGGTTTTTACATTTAAAACGTTTTAGCATATGCTATACTGTTATACTTCATATTGACAAAAAGCTAATGAATACAATTTCTTTTCTTCTCTATAAGTGTTATGATAGCTTAAATTTTCTCCAACATTTTGAATAACATCTATTTCATTCACAAGTCAGATGAAAAGAAAAGTTGATATCGAGCCTTAGTATGCAATGAATATAATCTGAAGTTACCACTTAAAATGGGGTCTTTATGACTAGCTCAAGAGCATTGACTTTCAGGACACTAAAACGTTTTAGTTAGTTGAAAGATAATTTTTATTTCGATAGAAACAGAGCCTAGCCGTTTACTTATGTGAGATGATCATTGATCAGGACTTTACTTTCAAATTATATATCTTGCTACTTGATTGTTGCTTTCTAAATCATAATTTTTATATATTTTTATACTTATGTCACAATTCTGCAGTTAGTTGTGTACCAAGAAAATAATAACATGGACCAAGAAGAGAGAAATAAATATTATTGTAGGATGAATACAGTGATTGAGTACTTTATATTAAAATGACTTTGGAGCTTCATCCCGTTATTACAGTCCATGTTGCCATGTCTAGTCATGCTCTAATTTACAGTCTGGCACTTTGACAATAGTGCTGCAGCATATTTTTCTTTAAAAAAGGCCCTTTCCTAAAGCTGCTATTGCCAAAGTACTCGAAGCTTACATAGATGGTTTCCATAATCCATTCCTTTTAGAGGATTGTGATTTCCAAGAACTCATTTTAAGTCGATCACTTCTGCATCTGGGAGCTTGAATATCTTCTTATTGAATAGCATGATTATCTGCTTCATTTTAGAGCTGACTGAGATATCTTATGGATGAAACTTATGTACACATAACTTGTGTTGCTTTTCCAGATGAAGATCCTTTCTGATTATTTTATATACTGGGATAAATGGAATGATTTTGCCACTAACCTGTGTGTTTATTGAATCTCATCTGTTACACGACGCTACACTGGTTACTATGGCTGTGGTACGACTTGTTGCAGGTCTATTTCTGTATGGTCATGGTATCTCAAGTTAATCCATACTACTTTATTTTCCAATGTTATTAAATACAAGGGATATTCCTATCTTGGAAATTCGAAATCCCTTATCTGAATACATTATCTTAATAATCCGAGTGTATACATGTTTTGCATTGGAAATGGCTGTTACATACCCTCGCAAAAGCATTTTAGTAATATCACACTATCTATGACAGCTAAACAATGTCAAAATGTATTTTTATACATGCTATTTCACTGAGACTTTAAAACGGCTGTGGTTATCACGTGGCTTGCTTATTTGCATATTCAAAATTATTTTAATATAACGTACTCAACCTCTCCATAACCTGAACTAGTAATAACACTTTGTAACTAATGTTGTTTATTTTCCCAAATTAAGTTTTTAATCCATTCTAGGATATCACTATTAGTACTACTTTCAATTTGGCTTTAAGTGATTTTTTCTTGTTCCTTAGGAACGCCCACAAGAAGAAGTCGTCAAAGCTGACAATCCTGAAATCAAAGTTGATCTTTTGAATGCAGTGTACGACAATCTTACGTATCTTGTGAGTAAAATATCTTTACAAAACTCAGATCTCTATTTTCAAAACACTTAACCTAACAACACACATTGTGACAATATTCCCTTTGGCGACGGTCGCGGGTTCTAATCCCCGTCTCACCAAACATGCTCGCCCTTTCAGCCGTGGGGTCATTATAACGTGACGGTCAATCACACTATTCGTTGATAAAAGAGTAGCACAAGAGTTGGCGGTGGGTGTTGATGACTAATTGCATTCCCTTTAGTCTTTCATTGCCAAATTAGGGATGGCTAGCGCAGATAGCCCTCGTGTAGCTTTGCACAAAATTCAAATCAATCATTCTCTCCCTCTGGCGACACCTGATAAGTGTGTGTTTAAACGTCTGATAGATTTTTAAAAGTTTAGGAGATGAGTTCAAAGTATCAAATATGCAAGTTGGACAAGAGAAGTTATTCAGGTTGTTGGTTGATTATTGATTGAGCCAGTTGGTGTAGGTTGTTCAGATTGTTGATTGATAGATAAGAATAATAAAAACATATAAATTCAAGAAACTTAGCTACAACAGTAGGTTTAAATATCTAAAAAAATAGAGGGTTGTGTTTTTATGCTCTGATTTCGTCTGCTTTTATAAATGCCTACATGGCATTTGTAAAGGAGTAAATAAAGTCATCTTAATTACAACTGTCGACTTTCCTGTGTATAATATCCTGTGTATAATTGCTCGTAAAGTGATAAACTTATAATGAATACTTCACTTTTCAAGGTTACAAACAAACTATTAACTCCAAGAATATGTAAGAGCTAGATCTGGCCCAGTGGTTGTCATGTGCAGATCGCGAATTCAAGGGTCCATGGTTTATGTACCATTGCTGCAAAAACATGCGTCGCATTTTGAGGCCTTGTGCATGCTATAAGAACTACTATTTAGTTAGATAAAAGTAGTCCAATATCTGCCTTCTTTAATCTATCAGTTCAAAACTAAGAACAGTTATATACAGATATAATAATTGTGTAGCTTTGTTCAAACATTCTAAAACAATATAAAAAAGGATGGAAAGAGTAAATTATTTACGGGAGCTGTGCATAACAATTCTTTATCAGAGAAATATTATGTGTATTCAAAATTTCTCCTGTTCCAAATAAACTAAACTGTAACGCTTTTATTGGTGCTAGAATCGAACTTAAAACTTAAAATGAAAGGGGACAAAATGAATAAATTCTGGGATATTTTACACCTGCATGAGAACTTTGATATTTCTAGAATTGGTGTTGATACTTTTAAAACCGACAGACAGAAATGGTTGTCATTGAGAATGTATATGTTGTTTGTATTTTTCTTTTTGAACTGGCTACATCGTATTAGGTGTATTCACATTCAGTACACTGAGCTGCCATATGATGGTTTTCAATGTCTAATGTGACAAGCTAATGTTTTCACCTTTTCAGAACTGGGAAGCAGAAGTAAACACTTACTTTATGTTTTAAAAACTATGAAGTCGTAAAAATAAATCAAAATAATCCATGAATACAACATAATTATTTTTTAGAGTAATGTCATTTTACTAGAAAAGGTAATTATTTTGAAATCTGAGTAGACTGAAGGGAAATTCTTAGTGAGTAATAAAAGACATAGGATTTGTTTGTTTCTTTTGAATTTCGCGCAAAGCTACACGAGGGCTATCTGCGCTAGCCGTCCCTAATTTAGCAGCGTAAGACAGCTAGAAGGAAGGCAGCTAGTCATCACCACCCACCGCCAACTCTTGGGCTACTCTTTTACCAACGAATAGTGGGATTGACCGTCACATTATAACGTCCCTACGGCTGAAAGGGCGAGCATGTTTCGTGGGACGGGGATTCGACCCTCAGATTGCGAGTCGAGTGCCCTAACCACCCGACCATGCCGGGCCAAAAAGGCATAGGAGATTTAGGCCAAGAGTGCACATTAGCTTAGTCAAACTATTTAAGTTATATTATATTATGTTAGTATACACTGTTCTGAACTGGCAACACTTGTTTTTGTTTAAGGTTAGAATTAAAAAGAGACACCAACTCTTTTTTACAGTGAAGTCCTTAGTTGTGCTTAGTATTGTAGGCACTACAATCAAACCTTTTATAAACATTACTGCTGAGTTTCTAGTACTCGCTCCACAGCCATATTTTTACAACATTCCTGTTATGCTTCCAGTACATCTTATACAGTCATATGTTTAATAAAGGCATCGTGTTAAAGTGCATGCAGATAGTCACTCAAGTAAACAATATCGCTTCTCCTTATCTGCCATTCTTGTTGCCGAAATGGCTAATGGCCTGGAGTTTCCACGGCCCTATGTCACGTGTACGAGGTGCATGGCATGAGTAACCAGTTATTGTATTAAGTATTTAAAGCCATGCTTCAATAGGTTTTCCACATAGAAATTCTTCGACTTAATGTGTGACCTATTTTAACAGTGGGTTAATGTTGTCCTTTAGTATTAATTTTCTTTTATGTGGTGTACAGGGGGAGTCACAATAGAGTAGTGAAAAAAACATTAAAGGCTTTTATACCCCTATTTCACTGATGCACCACACTCAACCAAAACATCTGCCCTTAATTTGTATCAGTGTATTGTGTTTGTATTGACGTTGTTTCTGTTAATGGACTCATAAAATAAATGGTCCCAGTTCCATAATATCATATCCATCGAACCTACTGTTTATTGGACCATCGATTTGCTCTATAGGATATTTATAAATTGAAATATATGATGGAGTAGTAGGATAAGAGAAATTCTGGTGCCAGGAACTTGGATATTGATATTGCAAAGGTTCATGCTTTTTAGAGTGGGTGCTTTATCATCAGTAAGCATACTAAATCGTTAGCTTTCCAAGAATGTCATTTTCTTCAGGGTGATAGGTATACAACCTTGGAGAGGAGTCAGGGTACAAGAAAGTGTAACCTACAGAATGGGTGTTTAGTTCCATGGAAAATCCTTTCCTAGGTTTCAATCTGAGACCGAGTACAGTGGTATTTATAGGAACCATAGGCATTTATTGGCCAAAGAGATAGTATCTCAACTCTGGTCAAGGACACTCATAGTAGAAAAAAAGGTAGAGAAAGGTGTAAAGTGTCATTGGTAGATGAAATCTACCAACACAAACTGTATCATCAAGAGGCAAAACAGTGAGTACTCGCTGAAGATGGAAGTGTTGACAAGTAGAATAATAGGGAACCTTTTCCCAGAACCAGAACAGAGTGAGACCAAGGGGCTGTAGGTGGATGAGAGTCACCAGAAGAAGATGTATCATTGACAGGTGACACAGTGGGTACTTGTAAGATAAGAAGAAGATTGTGAGACAACAGAAAACCCCTCTCATGATTGATGAAGGTGTGTTGCCAGTTGATCATAGGTCAAGGGGTGATCCAGGGTTCAGCAAGAACCATAAACAAAAATCGCTCATTGCTTGTTCTTCTGCAATCTAGGGGTCAGGAGCTGACATTTGATAAAGTGTGAGGCTCCAAGAGCCTGCTTATTCGGTGGTAGCCCATCATACCAGACTGTTTAGCCTGAAGAAAACGACGTCCCTTCCAGGAAGAGATCTATGCTTGTACATGATAGAGACAAAGTAGATCACTTCTATAGTGTATGGACAGACAAGAATGATCTGAACCATTTCATAAGGCATTTCAGCCTGAAACCAATAATCTCAGGTACTGGCAATGGGGTGCCTGATCCTGAATTTAGATGACCTGGATTTTGAAGCTACTGAGTATGTGATGTAAGAAAAGCTTAGAGACTAGGACATAGTCATAGCTGAGCTGCTTTGACAATTTTACCTGGAGGAAATCCGAGCCATACACCTGATGGAGTTCAAAACTCGAAGTATAACTTCAGTACCTTCAAAGGTGATCTATGCAATTTGCAATGGTGGCTACAGATCACGAAAAGGTCCTTGTTGTCATGTTTGCTGAGGGAATTGTGAGTGAGACCATGAGGCAACACCAATAAATACAAGATATTTTCACCATGCTGATGTTGTATCTTGAATTGGCAGAGGCCTTATAATTATATATTGCCAATATTGGATTCCAGAAAACAGAGGATCACTTAATTATGTATAAGAGTGGTCAGCATATAAGTCAAATTGGCTTTGTGATTGTCAGACAAACAGATAGAAATAATATTATTAACTTTAAAGTGATGCTCAGGGATGAAATAGTGAAGTGAACCAACATAGGCTGTTGGTAATGGATATTAAGATACAGAGAGAAAATAGAATCAAGAAGTGGAAAAGAGGATATATATAATCAAGATATGGAAGTTGAAGAGAGAAAATGTTAAATAAACTTAAAAAAAGAAAAAGTCAGATACAGACAAAACTCAAATGCAAATGCATGCAGTGGAAGGAAGAGACCTGTATCAGAAATTGGAAGCTATTAAAGTTTCACTATTAGATGTAGGTGTTAAGGTTTGTGGAGTTTCCAAAGAAAGTAAAGAACAAAATAAAGATTCATGGTGGGGTATGAGAAAGTACAAAAAGCAGTAAAAGAGAAGAATATTCAAAGAGTCGCAAGGAAATGAGAACAGTACTTTTGTTTATAAGGAAGTGTTAAATGAAATGCTAAGGAAGAAGTAGCCATAACAAAGAAATAATCATGGGAGGAATGGTATAGTAAGCTGAAAA